CAAAAAGAGGATTTGGAGAGACTGGACTCTTCGTTCACTGCGGTGCGGCTGTACAACTGTATAAGGCCTGTGGAAAGCCGTCTGGTGCTTCCTCAAACAAACAGGAATAGAATGACCATCTGACTCAGGAATCTCTCTACTCAGTAGGTACTGTAAAGAAAAAAAATCCTGAACATATATTTCCACACCTATATTTATCTCAACATTAGCCACAGTAATAAGATGATGGAAACACTCCAAATGCCCATTGGTGATAGAATGGATAGACTATGGTACAAAATATAATGGAAGATTATGCATAACTAAAGAACAATGAGGAAACTGTCAAACATCTCACATGGATGAATTTGGAAGACACCATGCTGAGAGAACGTAAGTCAATTCTATAGTGACATGCATTGCATGAGACCATTGTTATAAGAAGAAAAAATACATTTTCAATGGTGTTCAGGCCAAAAAAGCAAACTTTGATGGTTATGGAGGACGGAAGGGAAAGAATGGAAGGGGAAGAAGATAAATAAAGTTTTTTTTTTTAAAGATACACGTAGACAGTAACTCATATAAATGCATAAATAGTCCGACTCCTAGTGACTTTATTAGATGGACTCTATTATAGCTTCTGAGAGAAAGATGAGACTTTTTCTCCCATGAAGAGTTACGTCATCGGAAACCGGAAGGAGGCAGTTCTGTTGCTTTCCAGACGGTTCCTATGAGTCACATTCAACTCCATGGTAGTGAAGGTTTCTGATTTTGCTTTCATTATAGCTACAATATTGCAGAGTAGATTAAGAAACAAGGGATAGGGGGTAGGAATACCATCACTCCCCTTTTTATTCTCTACCCAAACCTTTTAAGCTCTTCTGATTTACGGAGATGGTGTGAGGAGTGGATAACAAACGTGTTGCATAAATACACAGCTTTAACTGCTACATTATTATTTTGACTTTCTCATGGGAAAAAATGTATTGCAATAGTAGCAAATAAAGGTAATTAATTGTCAACCAGAGAATTGAACCTGATTGTCATGTCAGAGGAACGTTATTGCTGCAAAAAGAGAATGTTGACCAATATATGTGGCACTAGAATAGCATCAGGATTGGAAGAAGTCTCTTTAACAAAAGCCCCTCCCCCAACTCGCCAATAGGTAGCATCATAATATATGGAAAAAAGAAAGTTGTGAAGGATTTCAGTTTCCTTGAATACACAATCATCCCATATCAAATAACCAGTCAAGAAATCAAATGACTCATGGCATTGGGCAAATATGCTGCCCAAGACCTCTTCAGAGGTCTGGCTCTTCAAGTACAAGGATATTACTAGGAGGTCAAAAATGATCCTAACCCAAGCCATGACATTGTTAACAGCCTCACCACGTATATGTGGAAGCTCTGGTTACTGTTGGTGCCACTGATCATCAGTGCTCACTGTAGCAACCCTATGCGGAACAGAAGGAAACACTGCCCATCCATGTCTTTGAGAGGCGGCCGATCCTCCTCCTCCTCCTCCTTCTTTTTGCTGCCCCTCTACCAACTAGTATGTCCTTCTCTAGGGATTGGTCCTGCCTCACCATGAAGTCTCACCATCCTCGCCTCGAACAGCATCTGGCTGTCCTTCTTCCAAACAGATTTATTTGTTCTTTTGACAGTCCACGGTACTTCCAATATTCTTCACGAGTACCATATGGCAAACATATTAGCTTTTCTTCTGTCTTCCTGCTTCAATGTCCAACTTTCACATGCAGAGGAGGCAATTGAAAACACCATGGCTTGGGTCAGTAGGCCTTAGTCCTGAGAGCTAGCTGATGAAAAAGGAAGAGCAAAGAATAATTGATGCATTTGAATTATGATAGTGCTGAAAATACAGAAACAACAAGTAAATCTGTCTTGGAAGAAGTGCAGCCAGAATGCTCCTTAGAAGTGAGAACGGTGAGATGTCCATGCAGGTATTTGGATTTGCAGTGATGCTGAGGACCAGTCCCTAGAGAAGGGCATGATGCTTGGTAAAACAGTGGATCAGCAAAAAAAAAAAAAAGGGGGGGGGACTCTCAAGGAGATGAACTGACACAATGGCTGCAACGAACGACGCAAATATAGCGAAGGAGCGAATGGGGCTGGACCTGAGGGTATTTCCTTCTGTTGTGCATAGGTAGGGTCCTAGGAGTTGTAAATAACTCAATGCATTTAACAAGAACAACCTGTGTAACGCAGGAGATTTTTCACGTTTCGTGGTGTTTCAAATAGTCTCTTACAATTCTGTCGAATGGGTGCTTTGGTCTTAAGAAAATGACATGAGGCCCCATGAAGATAAACTAATTCTTGGTTAGTTAGTGCTTGAGTGATTGTGGCCATGCAGTCATAACAAGGTGAGGGCCACTACAGAACCATGGCCCGACATGTTCATGCTAGCCAGGAGCTCAGATCTGTCAGGGAGGAAAGGCAGTCATTGCACTGACAAGCAATGTAGACCAGCAGGAAGCGGGGGAGGCATCTAGAATGAGGAATTGAGGAGAGAGAATATATCAGTTGTCTTGGGAATGACTATTTGGCAATAGGGCCAATTTCACCATTCTTACCATTTCAATGTACTGTCAGTCTTGGTCTCAAAGCCCACGGCAACTATGTATGGCGACTCTACATGCTTACACCAACCTGGAGAGTTGCTCCTAAGAAGAAGAATGACTATTTGTAAAGCTGAAAATTTAGGACCCATATTGTATGTATTTGGCAAATATTGGGCTACAGATCACAAAATGGTTTAAAGTGAGAAGAAAACAAATAGTGTGCAATTACATTCACCTAAAGTTAAAAGTACACATACAATGATGCAATCGGAGGCAACACGTGCACAGACAGCTTCATCTTTCTCTCAAAGAGTGGGCTGCTGGGTTTGAACTGCTCCTTTTCAGTGTGTAACCCACTGCCGCACCAGGGCATCCATACATATTATGAGGGGGCTGCAAAACGCTCGTGCGGGAAATCCCACTATCTATTCATTCTGTTTCCCCACGAACTTTTGGAGGAGAGAGAGAGAGACTGACTAACCAAATCCAATCCAGAGATTCTTCTCACAAATCGGGCATTGATAGTTTACACTCCATCAGTGTGAAGACTAGCGACAACCATTTTCAGCCCTGCCCAGGCATGGCCGGAGCAGGGACCTGTCTTGGGCAGGCTGCTGTTCTCCCTGTCGTTGGCAGCTGAGGAAACTCCTCCCTCCCCGGGGAAAGGCAGCAACGGCGGCGGCAGCATTAGCAGCAGAGGAGGGCGACAGCCACCGCAGCGCCGTCCAGCTGCATCCCGCCCTCGCGCCCCCGGGGCGCTGCTGGGGCGCTCGCGGAGCCGGGGTGCGTCGGGCGCGAGCCGGAGCGTGCCCGGCGCCAAGACTCTTCTGATTGGCTTTGGGCGGCGCTAGGACACCGCCCGCCCGCCCGGGAGGGAAGGCAGCCGTTCAACAGCAGCCCCGACTTCACAGAGGACCTCAGGGCGTTGGGCGCAGGGCACCGAAAGGGTGGTGCGAGGGGAGGGTGCCCCGGACCCAATGGACTGTGGCTGGCGACGGGGCCCCGAGCGGGTGGGCTGAGGCCCCTGGGAAGCCAAGCCCCACCAGTAAACCCAACCTGTTCCCCGGGCACACGGATGGGTCCTCGGGGGGCTTCCTCAAGCTAGAAGCGCTCCAGTTCGGAGAGCACCTGGCGCTTTCCGCTTTTCTTTGGAGACCCTCCCCGGCTCTGCCGTCTACGGGCGGGGCCACCCTGGGGGCGGTGAAACTTCCCGAACAATCCTGTAAATATCCTAGCCCCGCGGTTCCGTGCTGGGGGTTGCAGGCGCTGGGATTTGGTGCCCACTAAAAAGATGACACAGCTTTACTTCCCACGAAGAAAGCGATTACATAACAACGTGGAGCTCAGAGGCCTGGAACGAGACACGAAAACTCAAAGGGGAATTAAAAGAAGGCTTGGGGAGAGGTGTGGAGCTCGCCACCCTGCTGGGTTTTCCTAACCGTGGTTTTTAAGTGACAGACGTCTTCAAAATGTCAAAACCAGACCGCTTCAAAATAACCATCGATAATTAGAATAAGACCTTGTATGTATAGGTTATACATGACATAAGAGCCCCACCCCCCAAAAAAAAATAAGGCCCTTTCCTTCAAGCCCTTCGACCTATAGTCGAGCTACTGTGCAGGTCGCCTCTTTCTCCCGCACAGCCCCCGGTGGGCTCGCATCCACTTCTGAGAGCCAGAAGTCCACCGCGCTCGCTGCGGCTCTGGGAAGCGTCCTAGACGCGATTCAGATCCGTGTCAGCTTCCAGGGACGAGCCCTGGGAGCTGCGACCTTGGCTTTGAAAGGCAGCCAAGGGCTAGCGGGCTTCTTTGCGCCACGGGTTCCCTGCGGGCGCCGGGCGCGTCCAGCCTCCCCGGGAGCCGCCCGCCGCGGCCGCGCACGTCTGACCCTGGGCGGCTGGGGCTCCGGGCGAGAGGAGGCTCCTCACCAGCTCCCGCACCCCTGCGGCGGGGACCAAGACACAACCCGGAGTCGAGTTACAACGCCCAATTAACATATGAATTTGGCTTACTTAAAGGAGGAAAGAGGAAGGAAAAAAAAAAAAAAACAGCGCGAGCCGGCGGCCGCGTCCCGCGCACGCTGGAACTTTTCTCGGGGTGTCAAACTCTTTGATTGGCTGCTCGCACGCGCCTGCCCGCGCCCGCCATTGGCTGAGCAGACACGCGACCGGCGCGAGGAGGGGGCTGGGAGAGGAGCCTGGGGAGCCACGGTGGCGCGTGCCGCTTTTTAAAGGGGCGCAGCGCCTTCAGCAACCGGAGAAGCTTCGTTGCACGCGACCTGGTGTGTGATCTCGGAGTGGGTGGGGGAGGGTCGAGGAGGAAGAAAATAATAATAATAATAATAAGACGTGGCGGGAGAGACCAGGAGAAGGTCTATTTATTGAACAGGTTTGCCAGCGCTGGCCTCCTGGAGCCCTGAGCCTCCGCGCCCCTGCCGTACCATGTCCCGGCTGCTGCACGCTGAAGAGTGGGCAGAAGTGAAGGAGCTGGGGGACCACCATCGCCATCCCCAACTGCATCATCACCCCCAGCCACCGCCGCCGCCTGCGACCCTCCCGGCGAGAGAACCTCCAGTCTACCCCGCCGAGCTGTCCCTCCTGGACAGGACGGACCCACGCTCCTGGCTGGCGCCCACTTTGCAGGGCATCTGCACGGCACGCGCCACCCAGTACTTGCTGCACTCCCCCGAGCTGGGTGCCTCGGAGGCCGCCGAGTCCCGCGACGAGGCGGACCCCCGGGGAGCAGTGGGCAGGCGGAGCGGCGGCGGCAAGAGCCCCGGGCAGGTGAAAGTGCGCGACCAGCTGTGCAAGCTGAAGGGCGGCCTGGTGACGGACGAGCTGGGCTGCAGCCGCCAGCGCGCCCCTTCCAGCAAGCAGGTGAACGGGGTGCAGAAGCAGAGGCGACTGGCGGCCAACGCCCGCGAGCGGCGGCGGATGCACGGGCTGAACCACGCCTTCGACCAGCTGCGCAACGTTATCCCGTCCTTCAACAACGACAAGAAGCTGTCCAAGTACGAGACCCTGCAGATGGCCCAGATCTACATCAACGCCTTGTCCGAGCTGCTGCAGACGCCCAGCGGCGG